GCAAGCGCTCTACCACTGAGCCACCTTCCCAGCCCCTGTTGTTTGCTTTTAATAGAAATAATCATGGTGCAAATTGTATTTATTATTATTGCTTAGAGCAGAATGGCTACAATATATTGGCTTACATATTAAAAAACATAAGGACTGCTGGGCACCGGTGGCTCCCACCAGTAATACTAGCTAGTCAGGAGGCTGAGATCTGAGGATTGCGGTTCAAAGCCAACCTAGGCAGGAAAGACCCTGAGACTTCAATTAACCACCAGAAAACTGGAAGTGGCTCTGTGGCTCAAGCGGTGGAGCGTCTGCCGTCAGCTGAAGAGCTCAGTGACAGCGACTAGGCAGAGTTCAAGTCCCATGACTGACAAAAGCAAAAAGCAAAAACCAAAAAAACAACATAAAGATTGAGTCAGGCACTGGTAGCTCATGACTGTAATCTTAGTTACTCATGTCTCTTATCCTATCTGAAAATCTTGGTTGGGTAGACAAATCTACATGGATCTTATCTTCAACTGACAAGCAAAATGCTGGAAAAGGAGGCATGACTCAAGGGTTTGAGCACTATCCATAAGCAAAAAAGCTGAGTAAGAGATTTGAGGCCAACCCAGACAGAAATGTTTGTTAGGCTCTATCTCCAAAACAATCAGCAGAAAGCAGGGATTGAGGGGTAGACTTTCAAGTGGTAGAGGATGAGTTCAAACTCTAGTACTGCCCAAAACAAGGGAGGCTGGAGGTGTGGCTCAGTGATAAGGCTCTAAGTTCAAACCTCAGACTGTACACTCTTACCAAAATCTTTGGGGATGAGACCAGGCATTCGTATTTTTTTAAACTACCTACATGACTGCACTGCGTAATCAAGTTGAGAAGCACTTTGTTAACACTAGATGAATAGCTGTTCACTGGGTTTTTGCATGGAAAATGATTCCCTAATACTGTTTTCTATGCAGAATTTCAGAGGACTTTTCAAGATTTCTATGCTGTAATCTGGGGAATATGGGGCTGGGAAGGTGGCTCAGTGGTAGAGCGCTTGCCTTACAGGCATGAGGCTCTGGGTTCAATTCCTCAGCACCACATAAGAAAAAAAAAAAGCTGGAACTGGCGCTGTGGCTCAAGTGGTAGAAAGCTAGCCTTGAACTGAAGAGCTGAGGGACAGCGTCCAGGCCCAGAGTTCAGGCCCCACAACCAACAAAACAAAAGCAAAAACAAAACAAAACAAAAAAACTGGGGAAAGTCTTCCCTAGAATAAGAAGGACATTCTATTCCATTCGCTACTGGGAAGAGGGAAGAAGTCCTCTGCACGACAGAATGTGGTTTGGCCACCAGGAGCTGTTTCAGATCCTTCTAGACTGAAATCTCAAGCAAGACAATTTCAGGTTCCCAGAAATTAAGACTGACTTAGCTATGAGCATGTGATTCCTTCAAGTAAACCCTAGGCCTATGTCCCCAAAGTTCTTTCTCCTACCTCCAGTAGGTCTATCATCCTGGTCATCTGGGAGTAGATAAGGACCCTATGTCCTTGAGACTTGAGCCGAGTCAGCAGGACATCGAGGGCATACAGCTTTCCACTGTCAGTGATGAGGCTCTCCTTGCCTGGGGAGAAGAAAAGCAGGGTGGGGGTAGGAAGGGAAACTATTTAATTGAAGCAATAAAATCACTTACTGCAAAGTTGTATGCAGCCCAAATTACTACAACTCAGATTCTTGTCATCATGAGAATAGGAAAGTACTCCAAAGGAAGAATGTAAAGCCTTGTTAAAGCTCAACAGTGAGTGTTCTGGGAAGACATCCCTCACAGAGGGATGTGGAAATTCCCTTCCAACTGTAGTGTCCAATCTTGTCTTTGAAAACTTGCCTGTTCCACCTTCTTCTAACCCAGGGGATACCAGTTACACTAGTATAACTATGAGTGATGATGGTGTTGCTCTAAGCAATTCCCAAAATCTGTTTTTCTTTTGTTCATCTATCTCTGGGTATCTATTTCTGTTAGTTCTGTGGTTGTTTGCATCTTAAAAGCATGAGAATGTATAGAAACAAGGACTGTTCCTGCCTTCCCTTGGAGATAATACATAAACAGCAAGAAAGGCAAATAAACATACCTCCCCATTTTTCTGGTAGTGCTGGGGATCAAACCCAGTAAGGCAAATGCCTCAGAAAAAGTGACTTTGAAATGAAATTGCTCTCTTACTAAGTAGTGCTTTCTTCTTCCTCTTCCCACAAGAAATACATTTCAACCAGAGATCTTTAAAGAACAAGTCACTCACAAGTTTTCATCTTATCCATTCAGTATCATTCAACTCCCATCATATTTCAGGAAGGAGAGTTTCCTGTTTGCAGACTGGTCCATAAACATTCCCTTAACAATTGCTGCCATTAAGAGGGGAAGAGTACATAAGGAAGTGGCTGGGGGATACAAAAATGAAGAAAGGATATAGGGATCTTACACTGACAACAAATTACTAAAAGTTAAAGAGGTAACTGTCAAGAATAACAGTGCCTCGCCTTCATTTCTGGGTCTGAACCCATGACTGCTCCTCAGAATTGCAAAGGCTGTCTATTGACAGCATTCCAAGGGTTCTCAACCGTCATTCTCACCACTATTTGCCATGTGCACAATTATTGTCTACACTGAAAAAGAACGGATGTGCTGACGGCAACATAACAAATCACTAGCTGCTCTGTTTTTGCTACAAAGACACAGGTCCTCGATGTTTACTCCCCTGTGCTCCAGCCTCCCCTTTCCCACCTTCAGAACACTGCCAGTCTCTCCCCCCCCCATCTCTGTGGCACACACCTTTGTTCAACATCTTTGTTTGGTCCTGTTTAGATTACTGAAATGCTCTTCTTTTTGTTGTCTCCTTACCAACACAATCAAATGACTGCAGCTGGGACAGAAGTGATGGCTAAGCCCTTTCCCTGGCACCAGACAAAGGCCCGTATAAATTCCAAGTCTGATCAGGCAGCAATGCTTTCATAACAACTTGCAATTTCCCACATATCACAATTACTTCTGTTGCTTTGGTTGGATTACAGGAACCCTCCCCTACCTCATGTTGGGGATTGACTTTAGGGCCTTGTGAAGCCTAGGCAAGCACTTTACCACTGGGCCTGAGTCTCTTGATTCTTTATTATTTGCCAGTCCTGGCACTTGAACTCAGAGCCTGGGCATTATCCCTAAGCTGCTTTTGCTCAAGGCTAGCATTCTACCACTCGAGCCACAGTGCCACTTCCGAATTTTTCTGTTTATGTGGTACTGAGGAATCAAATCCAGGGGTTAATGCATGCTAGGCAAGCACTCTACCACTGAGCCACATTCCCAGCCCTCTTGATTATATTAATAGCTTGTTAACATTCTCTACAGAACTTTAGACCCTGTTTCTTCCTGTTCTCATTAAAGGTGCAAGATGGTGAAAAAAATTACACTTATTTGCAATCACTGAGTAAGAATGAGCTTCAGATTTCTGTAGTGTATACAATCCATTCAACTATATTCCCTCAACACAGATACTGAAGCAATACAAATCTGTATGGTGTCTGGATTTTGAGAAGCTTTAACAGATAAAATAGTTCTACTCTTATTTTATTTTTGTTGGTCGCTGGGCTTGAACTTGGGGCCTGGGTGCTGTCCCTGAGCTCTTCTGCTCAAGGCTAGCACTCTATCACTTGAGCCACAGTAGCACTTCCAGTTTTCAGGTAGTTAATTGGAGATAAGAGTCTCATGGCCTTTCCTGCCTGGGCTGGCTTTGAACCATGATCCTCAGATCTCAGCCTCCTGAGGAGCTAGGATTACAGGCATGAGCCATCAGTGTCCAACTTTCTAACCTCCATTTTTTAAAGCTTTGCTATGTAGAATATAAAAACATACATGCATATATTATACATATAATATATACATATATATAAAACATAAATACGGGGCTGGGAAGGTGGCTCAGTGGTAGAGTGCTTTGCATGCATGAGGCCCTGGGTTTGATTCCTCAGCACCACATAAGCAGAAAAAGCCAGAAGTGGCGCTGTGGCGCAAGTGGTAAAACGCCAGCCTTGAGCTGAAGAGCTGAGGGACAGAACCTAGGCCCAGAGTTCAGGCCCCATGACTGACCAAAAAGATCAACCATAAATATACAACCCAAGAACTGTTATAAATTTATAATACTGTGAATATCTTCTCCCCTTCTGGGCCATATCCTTTTCTCACTACTAAAACTATGTTTTTTGATAAAGGAAATTCTTAATTATAACAATCAAAGATATCAGTCTTTTCCTTTGTACTCTGATTAAAAATTTACTACAAAATGAAGTGTTTGTCCTTTATTTTTTGAGGAAATTATAAGCCATTTTCATTTTTTCCAAACTGGAAAAGGAGACTACTCTATCTCCCAAAGCCCAGGCCTTAATAAAGCTTGTTCACCAGCCTGTGAGGCTATTAGGCCCTCTTCTGTTTTATTTTTGTCAGAAGGAAGAACCTGATACTAGGATTAGAAAACCTTAGTGGTAAAGATGCACACATGCTGAGATAAATTTTGATATGCCCAGAGGAAGTGAGATGGTGTTGCAGCCAGCTGGTTACTATGTAGGTAAGGGGAGTGGATGTGGATGAGATGGACCTCTGACAGTTTCTGTATTTGTGGTACTGGGGACTGAACTCAGGGGCTGGTGCATGCTAGGTAAGTCCTTTACCCATGAGCTACCTCCCTGCTCACTAGACCTCTTTGGAATGCTTAGAAGGAAAAGAACTGAGAAAAAATTGCAGAAAAAGCTCAAAAACACTAAATCAACAATATTATTGATTTTTCTGGTGACAGAGATAATCAGCATTTAGTATTTGTCAGTAAGAAAAAAATGTTTATTTCTGTGTTTGTGTGTGTAGGTATAAGGACAAGTGTACTGGGGCCTTTTAGCTCTAGCTTGGCTTTATCACTCATGGTTGGTGCTCTACCACTTGAGCCACACTTCCAATCCAGCTTTTCTGCTGGTTAACTGATAATAAGAGTCTCAGGACTTTTCTGCCAGAGTTAGAAATGCAATCCTCAAATCTCAGCTACTGGCAGCACCTGGCTACGTCACCCAATAAGAGCTACCAAAGCTGTGCGAGTGAAGAGCACTACATGTTGCTAAGCAGGGGACAGAGCTGGAGGAGCAGAATTCCTTAGCAATCAGACTGATTCTGCCACATCAAACCTAGGCCCCACCCCTTCTCTAAAATAGAAGCAGAAAAGATACTGACTGAAAAGACCAATCGTCTTTCCTTCAGTGCTGCATTATTTAAATCAGTTTCATGCCATCCATACATAAGATCTTCTTCAGTGACAAAACAAAAACGTTATAATCCACAGCTGTACAACGATGGTAACAGATTAAGCAACTCCCTTTTCCAATGAAAGACCTTCTGAAAGAGTTATACATTCTCCAGGTGAAGCCTAGAGCGGCAATCAAAGGGCAAAACTAGTGAGATTTTGGTTAGTTGCTCAAGGAATGCAACAGAACCAGCACTTCCCAGGGGAGCAAAAAATGCAAAAGCACAGATAAAATATAGGTTCCACTGACACACTTCCACCCCCCCACCCCCGCCCCCAGCAAGTCTGTCCACAGAGCACAATGGGGTCAGTGAGGAGCTGGTTGGTTCTCACAGTAAACAGCCAGTGGGGCTAGTGCTTTTTATCGATGCGAAAAGAACTCAGACACTTCCTGCTATTTAAACAAGGTCCATTTTTCTTTCAAAGAACAGGAAAAGCCACATGAGATTCCCACAGCGCAAGCAATAAGCCTTTTACTCCTGTACTGAGACACTAAGCTAGAATGAAGGAATAAGAAATAAAGTGCTATTTTGCTTTTCTCTATACCTGTACTTAGCTCCTGCCTAGGATGCTTTGGTTTCCATTCGAGCCTGGTTTACATTTGGGCTTTCTCTCTTGATTTTCAAACCATTTACCTTCATCCAGTGCTTTCCTGTCTGTATTCTAAGTCTGTTCTGAGGGCATATACAATACTGCTTTCACATACCCCCCAAAATATTTTTTCAGTCAAAGCAATCCCAAAGCCAGCTAACACAAAAGCATCTTGACCCCTGACGGTCTCAGTCTTAAATGGAAAAACCAGGCATTCAGAACTGGAGCTCAGTTATCTTTTATAAATATGTCCATTAGGTATCAATAAAACAAACAGAAGCTAGGTATCAGTAGATTTGGACAACCCAAAAGTAGCAGTTTTGGCTCTAGTATGCAGCAGGTGTTAGTAAAGAATATGAGTCTACTGAACCTTGTGTTCAACTTCCTTAAAAGTAGTCTCACTACAGCAAAGATGAAAACCTACTTTCCTTTCAACCCTTGACCTTGACCCCAGGGGGTCTGGGAATCCGCTAGCATTTTGGCACAAAACATACTGTTTTTCCTCTTGTTATGATTAGATCTCTGGTGCTCCGTGCAGGACACTGTTTATGCTACTTAAACTTGGCTTTCTGGGAGTGACGACATTCTCATTCATCCTGCTGGCAACAGCACAACTGTACTCATTAGAACTGAAGCTTTTTTTTTTGTCATTTTACTTTATTTCTGCAATTCTAGAAATGGAATGTTGCAAGAGCTCTCCTTTTTGTAAATTTCTTTCAAAGGAGGGTATTTAAGCACAAATCTGAAAAAAAATTTTCCCCACTCAAGTCACAATTATTAGCATTTCCACATATAAATTACAAAGGGCAAAAAAAAGGAAACAGAAACCTTAAGAACTCTAAATTCTAAATATGGACAATCACCACATGGAGTAATCTCATGTGCTTTCCTCTTGCCAGAGCTGGAAACATAGCCCAAGAAAGGGAAAACTCACCTGGAATCCTGATGAAGGACCAGCCGTTCTGGGGCCGGATGCTCCACAGCCCCCCAGCAGGCTCTGGGAAGAACTGAGATCTTCGATTCAGACAGTCTGCAGCCAGCTCAGGAGCCCCATTCAACAAACACTGCTTGGCTGCCAGACTCCCGCCTTCCTTCAGAACTCGCCTCTCATATTCTGCACTTCGGTCATTGCAGTAAGAATCCAATGGCACTGCGGTGACCTGCAAGGGCAGATCCACATAAGATGATGTTTTGCATTTTTCACTCACTAAGTTAACGTAAACTTTGAGGTCAGTTGACCACTGAGCTATTAATTAGCATGTATTAATTTTAGAAAGGAGTTTCACGTGATATGTGCATAGAATGTGCTTTGATCAACTTCATCTCTATTACTTTTTCTTCCCTTTTAGGCTAATAGTTTTAAATTCTCTGTTGTAACAAATTAAGCTGACCCTAATTACCCCAGTGAGCTTCTCCAGTTACAGGCTAAGCTCTACTAACATGACCCTACAAATTAAATATGCAAAGCAAAATTCAGTGTGCAGATAAACCAAGAGAATAAATAAGTAAATACACACACTCCCCTCACCCCCTCCCAACTCCAGTCACTTTACCACTTCCATTCATTGTTAGATGCTGTTCTTGGCAAAGTGCTAATACCCATATCATGTCAGCAAGGGAGCTGGAACTAATGAGTCATAATTAAAAACTGAAGAGTATTGGCCTGACACATCAGAAGCTAGCTTTAATGCTTCTGTGTCAAAGCTCCTGAGTTTATCCTTCTGACTGACAAATCTAATGAAAGATAAGGGAAATTTTCTTTCAGGCTGTAAGCTTGGGGAAGGGCTAAGAGGAAAACAATTACCAGCAAGTAGAAGATCCATTCTCTGGCTGTGCAAAATTCTTAACCTCATCACAAGGTGGATATACTAAGACGCTACTCTCCAATGGAGCAGGGGCGGCTCCGACCTGATTTAGAAGCCTAAGCTGTCTGATCTATTCCCAGCCTAAATGTCACATGTGCACATAGCTGTCTATGAAATCATCTGATAAGGAGCCTATGGAAGATGACAGGCTACATTTTGTTAACCTGTATAAAGTTGTGATGATCTGTCAAGCCCACAAGGACACAAATACTAAAAATCAGTTTTAAGCAGTAAGTTGCTCAGGTAGAACTAGATGAAGAGATTAAGAGAAACTGACTGGGTAAGGACAAAGGTAGGGGAGGTATCAAAATTTGAAACATTTTCTGTACCCAGTCAGTCACAAAATGTGGGCAGTTGGGAAAATCTCTGTGTTGTTATTAACAATTAACTGTTTTCATGTCAACTAATCTTTAGGGAAAATAGTTCAGAGTTCTGTTATGCATAAGAACCTGAGGGGCTACAGCTTAAAAGTGCACATTTTAAGCCAGACACATTAAGACAGCTACCCTGGGTCAGTTCTAATTTAAAAAAAGGGGGGGGCACCCAGCTCTCAAATGCTTGGTATATATCATCAAATTATCCTATAAAATATCCAATACTGGCCAGGCACTGGTTGCTCATGCCTGTAATCCTGACTACTCAGGAGGCTGAGATCTGAGGATCGAAGTTCAAAGCCAGCCTGGGCAGGAAAAGCCATGAGAATGTTATCTCCAATAAACCACTGGAACACCAGAAGTGGCGCTGTAGCTCAAGTGATAGAGCACTTGCCTTGTGCTGAAGAACTCAGGGACAGCACCCAAGCCCAGAGCTCAAGCCCCACAACCGACCAAAAAACACAAAAAACAGAAAACAAAAAACAAAAAAACAACTAATACTTTACATTATAATCTGGGATCTGAGTGTGTGAGGTCTAAATTTATGCAGTCTGGAAAAATATTCTTTAATCAAAAGAAAAAACAGCCAGATGCTGGTGGCTGATGCCTGGAATCCTAGCTACTTAGGAGGCTGAGATCTAGAAGATCACAGTTTGAAGTCAGCCCAGGCAGCAAGGTCTTTAGACTCTTATCTCCAATTACCAGCAAAAAGGCACATTAAAGGTCTAGCCCAAATGCTAGAGCACTACACAAGCCACACTAGCAGAAGGTCTTAAGTTCTTTTTTAAAAAAGTAGAAAAGTACAAATTTTAATATAGATCTGAGTGAGAGGTCAATAGATCCTGATTCTGAATGAGCATCCCTACATATCAAGCCACGCCTTGAGAAATACTGCACTGGGGTATAGAAACAACTTTTTTTATTTTTTCCCTTCTGTTTATGTGGTACTAAAGAATCAAACCCAGGGCTTCATGCATGCTAGGCAAGCACTATTCCACTAAGCCACATTCCCAGTCCATAAACAACTAGCTAGCTCTATACAAGGTACCTCTCCTAGGAAAAGAGAGAACCAAAACTAGAGGAAGAACCTAATTTACCAATAACCAGGAAATAAACTACTCTGGTTTGTGGATAAAGGTGAACTGAGTTTGCTAGGGAACAGTGCCCTCTACAGTCCAGATTCAAAATTACAATGTGCCATGGTGAATGGCTGCCTCACAACCAATCCATGCAAACCACAAAAACCAGTTTATCCAGACAGTACTAGACGCCCATATCACTTTTATTTTCTCCAGGAGTTTGGTTTTTCTGCTTCCAATTTATTTACTTTTCCCCACTGACACTTGAGTATATGCGAATAAAGACTGAAATTTAAAGCAGGTGGCAGTAGCCCAGCAGATCACAGCCCAGAGCAGACATCTTCAATGTAGGATGTGACTCCCATACTCTCATAGTCTATAACTGCTATATTTCTAGGAAAAAAAAAAAGGTTGAAAGTATGCTCTATGTACTTTTTTTTTTTTTTGGTCAGTTGTGGGGCTCGAATTCTGGGCCTGGGCGCTGTCCCTCACCAATTCAGCTCTCTAGGCTAGCGCTCTACCACTTGAGCCACAGTGCCACTTCCGGTTTTCTGGTAGTTAACTAGAGATAAGAGTCTCAGACTTTCCTGCCTGGGCTGGCTTTGAACCTCAATACTCAGATCTCAGTCTCCTGAGCAGCTAAGATTACAGGTGTGAGCCACCAGTGCCCAGCTTGCTCTATGTATTTTCAGAAAGCACACATACTCTTGTATGAATAGTCAAAGCTAGTCTAGGACACATGATCTTCCTGTTTACTACCACACCAGGACACACAATTTTCTAATGTAAGACTGATATTAACACCAATTTTAAACATGTTCCACCCACCCCTTATTGACAGAAAGGCAGAGTTTAGATTAGAACATAAAGACTCTGGGCCTAAAGTGTCAGGATGAAAGTGAGAAGATCAAAATTAAGCATGAAGAAGATTGGGAGGATTGTGACACAGGAAAAATGTGTTCCTGCCTACAACTCATTGCTAGGCACTCTTACAGTTTAAAAACAAAACAACTTCTTTCGGCTACAAGCTTCTACCAAGCTGCTAATTTTTGTCTGGCCGATAATCGTCCAAGTGCTAGGGTGAATGTTAAGCAAGAGTGACAGTGACATTAACAACAAAAGGTTTTGAGAAATTTTATTGGTGAGGAGCCCTGGGTCAAGATATACGCAGAATCACAAAATGTCACCTAAGCAGTGCCCTGGTCCAAAAGAGGACAAAAAATCCACTTCACCTAGTCTGCTAAGGTTGGCTCAGAAACAGGGTGATGAAGCACGACCTACCATTCATCTCTGTTCACAAGTGGAAATGCATTCTCCCTCGTGTCCCTCATGAACTAACCTGCTTCTTGCTTCATTAACCTCCTAGATGACAGTAAACGGGGTTGCTTCTACAGGCATTCAGCGCGTCCTTCCTGAGGAAGGACGCTCTAACTCTGGGAAGCATGACAGCATGAAGCTTTTTTTCTCCCTGGTAAGATAATTCGTGGGGCCTTACTTTAGTAATCCTGTAGAATGATCTCCTTAGCTATTAACAAAACAGTTCGTGTAATTCCTTCCTAAGGGGTACAGTTATTTCTGGGTTAACCCTGAGATTTTTATAGCGTGTACTAGGAAAATTAATTTCTCTTAATGAGGCTGAAGGTGTGGCTCCAGCAGTAAAGCACCTGCCAACCAAGAGTGAAGCCTGAGTTCAAATCCTAGTCGTGGGGGTGGGGGGTGGCGGGGAAGAACACAAAACACACCAAAAGCCCCAACTTAAGTCTAGGCCAGAGTTGAAGTTTAAAGGAAATCAGTTTTTTTTTTCTCACCAGATGGGTCAAAAGTTTGAAGATAATTAGGCATTTCATGAAGTGCTGCCTTATATACATAGCCCAGAACTGACCTGCAAGGTGAGAGCTGTGTGCGCTTGTGAAAAACATTCAGCCATGTTTAAAATTCTTTTCCCACCCTTGTGCTGGTCCTGGGGCTTGAACTCTGGGCCTGGGCACTGCCCTAAGCCTTTGTGCTCAAGGCCAGCATTCAACCACTTGAGCCACGTTCCACTTTTGGTGGATAACTGGAGAGATTACAACAGACTTTACTGCCTGGGCTGGTTTCAGACCACAGTCCTTAGATCTCAGCCTCCTGAGTAGTTAGGATTACAGGAATGAGGAGCCACCAGGGCCTGGCTAAATTTTTGCTGTCCTAATGATTATGCTGTGATTACTCTCGTTTTCAGGTTCAGAATAAGCAAGGCATATAATTCTAGAAAAACCTATTAAGAGGGGGCTGAGTAGGAAAGGAGGGTGCTGGGACACAGCTTTTCAGCCAAGTGGATAAAGCCTTCATCCTGCTCCCTGCTTACCATACTTATAGCAACTATACTTTTTGGAAAGGTACATTTATGGTTCTTTAGGGAAACAGTAACCCTGGTGGTTTAGACTCTGAAAATAATACTAAAGTACACCCAGGGTCATGCCTGTGTGACTGTGTCAGCAGGATGGAGGTTTTTGTTTGTTTTTAGGGGATCTTGATATGAAATCTAGAACACTCTTGAACTAAGGGTGCTTCCTCAGTTTCTAAGTGTTGGAATTACACATGTACACTACAACACCATGTTCAAGGTTGTTCTTGAGGACAGTAGTTGGAATAGATACTGTGGAGGTTTTGAGTGGTACTGAACAATTAATGTGCATAAATGCAAGACGGCCAGCTTTTATTGGCTCTGTAAAACACAAGAAGATGAGAAGTCATTCTCTCAGAAATCTACACTCCCTCTATTAGACCTCTAGATATAGCGATCTGATTAAGAGTAACAATACAAACCAAGCTTGCACCTACAGAAGCACTTGAATTTAGATGCATCCTACAAAAGGTGTATTTCCCTGCATCAATTTCAGTTCTAAAAGAAGGTTTTGGAAGAGTGTGATAAATACAAAAGCCAAGTATTTTCCAGATCTAGCAAATATAAACCACATTCACACAGGCCAGCAGGAAGACCAGCAGGAAGAAAAATCTATGTAAGCAAAGTCAGTGGGACTCAATACTGCACTCCCATTCCTTAACTCTCTTTAGATCCTCTGATGGATTATGTTTTGTGATAAAGTAAGCAAGCTGATAAAAGTTAATGGCAGAAAAAGGATTTCCAATGAAGACTAAAAAACAGCTTCTTTCTTTGGACAGAACTATGGGAATAGTAGTGGTAGGATGCGTGGAGAAACGATAAAAACAGAAGTAAAAAATATATCAGCCTCCTAAGCTTCTTGGATAAACACAGCATTGCTTCTTGGCACAAAAGGACAGCAAGCAGTTCTGTTCTCTAACCACTGGCTCTGGCTACATCCCTTTTCTGCCTCTCTATCATATAATTCTTCATGGATGAAAGAAAACTTTTGTTTTCTATGATCAACAAGGACAGGAAGATGTAGTCAAAGGAAACAAGTCACTGAGTCAATGGAAACCTCTGCAGCAATACCTGTCAGCAACCATGGGGTGGTATTTTGATAGCAAAGGTATTAACAAGGAATTAAATAGGGGCTCAAAGTTTAAATCACAAAAGATACCTCTGAGCTGGGCACCAGTGGTTCATGCCTGTAATCCTAGCTGCTCAGGAGGCTGAGATCTGAGAATTGCAGTTCAAAGCCAGCCTGGGGAGGAAAGTCTGTGAGACTCTTATCTCCAATTAACCACCAGAAAACCAGAAGTGAAGCTGTGGCTAAAGTGGTAGAGCACTTGCCTTGAGCTAAAGAGCACAGGGACAATGTCCAGGCCCAGAGGTCAAGTCCCACAACCAACAAAAAACAAAAGATACCCCTACTCTGTAAATGACAGCATGACTGCAGGATGGCACTGCAGGTGACAAATGGCTTTCTTTCCCTTGACCCTGCTGTTGGATGATAATCTGAGACATGGCTTGCTCCCATTGTAGTACTTCAAAACCTCTGACTAAATGCAAAGCAGCTAGTGACGATGTTCTCAAATCTACTCAACTTAAGATGAGAAAGTACAATCTTGAAAAAACTGACCATGAAAATGCTTCTTTTTTTGGGGGGTGAGGGTGGAGGGGAAGGATCAGCTGTGAGAGACTTGAACTCAGAGCCTGGGAGAAGAACCTGAGCTCTTCTTTTTTATTTAACTCAAGGCTAATACTATACCACTTCAACCCATGGCAAGACTTCCAGTTTTCTGGTAGCTAACTGGAGAAAAAAAATCTTATGGACTTCCCTGCCAGGGCTGACTTCAAATTGTGATCCTCAGATTTCAGCCTCCTGAGTAGCTAGGATTATAGGCATGAGTCACTGGCACCCAGCTTTTTTTTTGGTCAGTCGTGGGGCTTGAATTCTAGGGCTTGGGCGTTGCCTCTGCGCTCTTCAGCTCAAGGCGAGTGCTCTACCGCTAGAGCCACAGCGCCACTTCCAGTTTTCTAATGGTTTATTGGAGATAAGAGTCTCATGGACTTTCCTGCCTGGGCTGGCTTAGAACAGTGATCCTCAGATCTCAGCCTCCTGAGTAGCTAGGATTACAGGCGTGAGTCACCAGTGCCCAGCACTTTAAAAAAAAAAACAACTATTTATAGGCTTTTTTCTAGGCTTCTCAAGGCCCAAAGAGCTTGAAACAATGCTGCTTAGGAAATGGAACCCTTGCATATCATTTTTTCCAACACTGCTTATTCCATCTTTCTCTGTGGCACTTACACGTGGACTGGCCACACACAAAAATGATGGCAGCTCAGTGGGCAGACAGCAACGAAGCGAGGAGGTAGCCGATCTCCGCTGATGGATGAGCTGGTCTGAGTAGCCACTCACTGCTTTGCAGTGGCTACTGAAAACAAGAGACTACAAAACAAAAACATCAGTTAGTGCCAAGGACAATTATGAGTAATGAAGTAAAACAGAAAAAGTGTCATATGTTATATATCTCTGAAATAAAAAACTTTCTTGCCAGGCATTGATGGCTCACGTCTATAATCCTAGTTACTCAGGAGGCTGAGATCTGGGAATCGAGGTCTCAAAGCCAGCCCAGGGAGGAACATCCATGAGACTCTTATTTCCGATTAGCCACCAGAAAACCAAAAGTGGTGCTGTGGCTCAATTGGTAGAGCGCTCACCTTGACCTGAAAAGTTGAGGGATAGCACCCAGGCCAAGAGTTCAAGCCCCACAACCAACAACAACAACACAGAACTTTCTGGCTAGCCATACTATTAATTCCTAGTAAACAACTACTAACTTAAGACTCAAGTATATAATATAGTTGAGTCTATGTCAATTTCAAAATGTTTTTGTTTGTGAACCTCGAACAAGTATCAATTCTGCTTCTTGAATGAGATACTGTTAATTATAAACAGCAAAACTTGTCATACAAAACACACTTTGTATGTGTAGGAGGAAATTTCATTCATTGGATAACTGTAGATGCAAATTCATCCCTTGAAACAATGATGACTGACATTATTTCCTTCTAACTTTTTTTTTTTTTGGCCAGTCCTGGGGCTTGAACTAATAGCCTGAGTTTCTTTTGCTCAAGGCTAGCGCTCTACCACTTGAGCCACAGTGCCACTTCTGACTTTATCTGCTTATGTGGTGCTGAAGAATCAAACTAAGGGCTTCATGCATGCTAGGCAAGCGCTCTACCACTAAGCCCCATTCCTAGCCTCCTTCTAACTTTTATTTAAGACAATTTAACATCATGAGTACTAACATAGCAGTGTAGTTTTAGCAAAGATACCTGTTTTCTTTATCTATAGAAACATCATATGAACACTGAGAAACAGGAAAAATCTTAGCCAGTTATTTTATACAATCAATTAAAAACAAATCTTTTTATATTTGTTATTAAAATACATTTTTGAGATAAAACGGGGAACTGGAGGAAAATAAAAGAAGGGGTGACACTGTTCAAGAAAGAAGTGTACTTATTACCTGATTTATGAAAATAACTCCTCTGTATAACATCTTAAGAGCAACAGTAAAATTCTACTAAAAAAAAAACAAAACAATTTTAGCCAGGCGCTGGTGGCTCACGCCTGTAATCCTAGCTACTCAGGAGGCTGAGATCTGAGGATCGCGGTTCAAAGCCAGACCGGGCAGGAGAGACCGTGAGACTCCTATCTCCAATAAACCACCAGAAAACCGGAAGTGGCGCTGTAGCTCAAGTGGTAGAGCGCTCACCTTGAGCTGAAGAGCTGAGAGACAGCACCCAGGCCCAGAGTTCAAGCCCCACAACCGACAAAAAAAAAAAAAAAAAAAAAAATTTAGAGCCAGGCGTCGGTGGCTCAAACCTCCAACTACACAGGAGGCTGAGATCTAAGGATCGCGGTTCAAAGCCAGCCTGGGCAGGAAAGTCCATGAGACTCTTATCTCCAATAAACCACCAGAAAACTGGTGGCTCAAGCAGTAGAGCGCTGGCCTTGAGTTGAAGAGTGCAAGGACAGTGCCCAGGCCCAGAGTTCAAGCCCCATGACGACCACCACCACCACCAACAAATTAGCACTTGGAAGGTAGAGACAGGAAGACTGGAAGTTCAAGTCTACATTGTGGCTCATCATGTTAAAAAAAATTGTCTCCTTACGAAAAAAGAAAAAAAAGGAGCTGGGAAGATGGCTCAGTGGCAGAGCGCTTGCCTTGCATGCATGAAGTCCCGGGTTCCATTCCTCAGCACCACATAAGCAAAAAAGAAAAAAGCCGGAAGTGGCGCTGTGGCTCAAATGGTAGAGCGCTAGCCTTGAGCTGAAGAGCCGAGGGACAGAGCCCAGGCCCAGAGTTCAGGCCCCACAACTGGACCCCCCCCCCAAAAAAAAAAGTATCACAATCTGTCAAGACCATGAAATTTGTGAAATGTATGTAATCACTTAATCACAATAAAAAAAAAAGAAAAAAAGAAAAAAAAGGTGTTTTTTTTTTTTTTTTTTGTCCACCATGGAACTTGAATTCAGGGCCTGGGCACTATCCCTGGGTTGTTTTTTTTTTGTCAAGGCTAGCACTCTACCACTTGGAACTACAGCTCTACTTCTGGTGCTCTGATAGTTAATTGGAGAAAAAGAGTCTCATGGACTTTCCTGCCCCAGCTGGCTTCAGAGCTCAGCCTCCTGAGTAGCTAGGATTATAGGCATGGGCCACCAGGGCAACAACCATGTCCTTCTGCAGAGCAAATTATAGTTCCAGTAACAAATGTCTTCAAGTTTTCTGTTCAACATACACATTGTGCACTTACTATATAGGTCTATTTTATATAATGCTCAAATCTGAAGAAAATGAGGTCCACAGTTTCAGAGAGGTCATTTCAAATTGTTTAATAAAAAATAAACACTGCCCACTACTGTGAAGCAATTGTTTTATCCTAAGTAATTGTCAAAAAGAAACTATTTCTCAACAGAGGCCCTGTGTTCAAACGCTGGGCATAGTGGCAGCCACTAATGGAAATCCCAGGACTCAGGAGGCAGAGGCCAGAAGAGTGCAAGTTTGAGGGCACCCTGGCTAAATATAGAGTTTGAGGTCAGCTTGGATAGCAACACTCTTCTGCAACCAAAGAAAAACAAAAGACTGATTTCAAACCTGGATGCTGAGTTTAACTTACATGTTGTTCCATTACAATTTCAAACAGGGAAACAGGGTGAGCGAAACTGGGCAAAGCACTAGTCTAGCGCACACCAAGTACCATATTTGATCTCCAGCATGGAAGAAAATAAAAAAGACCAAAAACTATTTCTCCAACAAACAATCAAACAACAAAAGCCCTACAGATGTGTAATCCCAACACTTGGGAGGCTGAGGCAGGAGAACGGCAAATTTGATGTACATGATGCTAGCTGGGTGCTGGTGGCTTACCCTTGTCATTCTAGCAGTAAAATGTGCCCCCCCTTTTTTTATTAAGACAGTCCATGAGGTTTGAACTCTGGGCCTAGGTTCTGTCCCTAAGCTCTTCAGCTCAAGCCTAGTGCTCTACCACTTGAACCACAGCACCACTTCTGGTTTTCTGGTGGTTTATTGGAGATAAGAGTCAAATAGACTTTCCTACCCAGGTTGGCTTTGAACTACAATCCTCAGATCATAGCCTCATGAGTGGCTAGGATTATAAGTGTGAGCCACGGGCACCTAGTTGGCTAACATTATTATCTTTTTACAGAGGTGCAACTTAAAGTAACAAAGAAATGCTTCTCACTACAAATTCAAAAAAATGGCTAAACAGAGAACTGACATAAGCAAGGATGGTGAAGATCAAACTTCATATGCGATGGGAGTATACATTTGAAACATGGATTTTGGAAAAACACTTAGTAGGAGCTAAACCTAAAGACATATACTGACAGATCAAGAATTCTACTCCTAGATATAATTGCCAAAGAAATCAATGTTTATGTTCACCAAACAACAGGTGCCAAATATGCCTGACAGTGTTATTTATGACAGCCCTAAACAATCGAGATATCCATTTAAAGGAAAAACAGGGCCTGGGAATGTGGCTTAGTGGTAGAGTGCCTGCCTAGCAAGTAAGAAGCCTGAGGTTCAATTTCTCAGTACCACGTAAGTAGAAAAAGTCAGAAAGGGAGGCTGTGGCTCAAGTGATAGGAAGCTCAGGAACAGGACTCAGGCCCTGAGTTGAAGCCCCAAGACTGGCAAATAAAAGAAAACAAAAACAAATAAAACAAAAAAATAGGAAAAATATAGGGCCTGTGAATGTGGCTTAGTGATAAAATGCTTACCTAGCAAGCATGAAGCTCTGGGTTAGATTCCTTATTACCAAATAAATAGAAAGAGCTAGAAGTGGCAGGGGCTCAGTGACAGAGCCAAGACCCTGAGGTCAAACCCCAGTTTAAAAAAAAAAAGTGGGGCTGGGAAGGTGGCTCAGTAGTAGAGCATTTGCCTTGCATGCATGAGGCCCTCGGTTCGATTCCTCAGCACCACATAAGAAAAAAGCCAGAAGTGGCGCTGTGGCTCAAGTGGTAAGAGTGCTAGCCTTTAGCACAGAGAAGCTCACAAAGAAGCTTGGTTGTCACACAAGTATATACATACATATGAATTTACACAACTCACACTTAAAATATGTAGACTTGGAAATTATAGACAAAATGTATTTACAAATGAAAATACACACACAAACTGTACATTAAGTTATAACTCAATATGTCACACCCACCTTCACCAGAAATTTTTATGTCACCATTTATTTTACTTTTACTGATCAAAATTAAAGGGGCTGGCTTAGTAGTAGAGTGTTTGCCTAGCATGCATGAAGCCCTGGGTTCAATTCCTCAGTACCACATAGACAGAAAAGGGTGGAGGGGGCACTGTGGCTCAAGTGGTAGAGTGCTAGCCTTGAGCAAAAGCAGCTTAGGGACAGTGCCGAGGCCCTTATTTCAAGTCCCAGGACTGGCAAAATGAATAATTAATTAATCAACTAAAGGGTCATTAAGCAGGCATTTTATGCTGAAACACTTGCTTACCTTTAACAAAGGGCAGCTGCAAAGGTTGGGAAAGGAAAGTGGAAAGTTAACGCCAAGAAGGAAATCCTTGTTTCTCAGGTATCGGTGCTGGCTCTCCCCTTCTGGCTCTCCCCAGGAGCGCAGCTGATGGAGCCTGTAGGAGGCTTTCAGAGACAGGAAAAGAGCTAACCATCTGAAACAAACCACAGCAGATATGCTTATTCAGTGCTCCAAGGAGGTTCGAGGGTCGTTTATAATAGTGAGAAACTACCCAACAGATGTCTCTCATTACATCTTTAATAAGTCTTGAAACTTTTCTTTCTCACTTTCAAACAAGGCTATTTTATACTTCTGTTCCATGAATTCTCTGTCATGATTTGATATTCTACTGCAAAAAAATAAAATCCACTGAAAAGCTTTTCTTGCTATTAGGAGTATTCATATGTTCATAAAAACTCTTATCAGTGGCTCATGCCTGTAATCCTGGCAACTCAGGAGGCTGAGATCTGAGGATCTCGGTTCAAAGCCAGCCTAGGCAGGAAAGAAATGGCACTGTGGCTCAAGTGGTAGAGCACTTGCCTTGAGGTAAAGAGCTGAGGGACAGCATCCAGGCCCAGCATTCAAGCCCCATGACTGAGAAAAAGGCAAAAAACTTTCCTTTAAACAGAGATCCCTGTTACATAAATACAAAGTAGTAAAAGAAAACCATTTTTCCAGAGAATAAGAACATACAACTAAATTTGACAACACACTTGAGGCAGTCTATGCTGTGGCAATTACAAACTAAATGAATCAGCAGTCACTATTTCTCTCTAGAAACAAATAAACATATACACTAACTTGCAATTAGAAAATTTGAAGACTGGTAGCATATGGAAAAGAAGTGTAAATTTTTTTTTTTTTTGGTTGGTTGTGGGGTCTGAACTCTGGGCCTGGGCACTGTCCCTCAGCTCTTCAGCGCAAGGCTAGTGCTCTACCACGTGAGCCACAATGCTACTTCCAGCTTTTTCTGCTTATGTGGTGCTGAGGAATCGAACCCAGGGCTTCATGCATGCAAGGCAAGCGCTCTACCCCTGAGCCACTTCCCAGCCCTAAATATTCTTTAAGATATATAATGAAGGGGCTAGGAAGGTGGCTCAGTAGTAGAGCGCTTGCCTTACATGCATGAGGCCCTGGGTTCAATTCCTCAGCACCACATAAGCAAAAAGAAAAAAAAAAGCAGAAAGTGGCACTCTGGCTCAAGTGGTAGAGCGCTAGCCTTGAGCTAAAGAGCTGAGGGACAGCATCCAGGCCCAGAGTTCAGGCTCCACGACCGGACCCAAGAAGATATATAATGAAGCATCATCATGTAACTAAATGCTCAAAAGAAAGTTATACTTCACTTAAAAAAAGAGATTAATATAAAATACTTTTCATAGTATTTGATTTTTATTCCTGTTTATTCCCAATGACTTATATATATATATATATATATATATATATATATATATATATATATATACACACACACACAAATTTAGCTGGGCATCAGTGGCTCATGTGTATAATCTTACCTACTCAGGAGGCTAAGATCTGAGGATCTTGGTTTGAAAACAGCACTGACAGAAAAAGCATGAGACTCTTATCCTCAATAAACTACTCAAAAAAAAGAAAGCCTGAAATGGTGCTGTGGCTCAAATGGTAGAGTGCTAGCCTTGAGCAAAAGCAGCTCAGGGACAGTGCCCAAGGCCTGAGATCAAGCCTCAGAACACACAGACATACACATACACAGACATGCACATGCACATGTGCACAGCAAATTTCTCACCTGGCTAAAAGTCCCTGAAGCATGAGGTTTGCCATTTCTGCTGGAGACACATCAATAAAGCGAAGAAAAGAAAAACAGCTTTCTTCATTAATACCTGTAGCATCAAAGAACAGTATTGAACCCAATTAAACCAAATTGCAAACCAAGAGGAAACTGAGCTAAAGATACTAAATTGCTCAATTTTTCCTTAAGCATAGATAGTCTGAAGATTCAACTACCCACTGTGTCACATCTTTGTACTACAATCAAAGAAAGCAGCAGCAACACATCTGAGGGAAAGTAGGAAGAGGACACAGAATCAGAGGGAACCAGGAAACATACAACAGAGGGGCCCATCAGCTGCACTGGACATTGATGAAAACGAACTAAGCAACTCAAAGGCAGCGATGGGAGGGAGGGAATGAGAGGGAAAGCAGGAACGGCTTACACTAAGCAAAAGGAAAGAAATGTACATTATCACCTGATGTGGAAGAAATAGCTGTATTGTCAAAGCTCATAGAATTCACGAGCTATTTTATAGATCACAATATTGACAATTTGCCTCATGAAGGTTAGAATGTGTTTGTGACTTTAAGTATCACTATCTCACAATACTGTGAAATTTATGTAATCACTTAATCACAATAAAAAATTTTTTTTAAAAAGAAAGAGGTCTATGAGATAGGTCAGGCTCATCAGATGTTTAGGGTTTCTGGTCCTTGGTTAACTTCTTTCTTCTTTTATCACACAGAAAAAGAATAGGACATGACAGAGGAGAAAGTTTCTGAACGTTAGTCTTAATATTCTAGACAATGCTCCAAGTTGAGCAGCTTCTTTTTTGTCTAAGAAGAAATGTTTTTTCTTTTTCTTTTGCCAGTCCTGGGGCTTGAAATCAGGGCCTGGGCACTGTCTCTGAGCTTCTCTGTGCTCAAGGCTAGCCCTCTACCACTTGAGCCACAGCGCCACTTCTAGCCTTTTCTGTTTATGTGGTGCTGGGGATTTGAATCCAAGGCTTCATGCATGCTAGGCAAGCACTCTACCACTGAGCCACATTTCCAGTCCCAAGAAAGGTATTTTCTTTTCTTTGTCAGAGGTGGGGATTGAACTCTGGGCCTGGGCACTGTGCCTTAGCTCTTCAACTGAAGGCTAGCTAGCCCTCTACCACTTGAGCCACAGTGCTACTTTTGGCCTTTTCTGTTTATATGATGCTGAGGAATCGAACCTAGGGCTTCATGCGTGCTAGGCAAGCATTCTACCACTGAGCCACCTTCCCAGACCAAGAAAGCTATTTTCTTAACACAGTTCAACATTAATACTGTCATGTTTCAAGAGTAGGAAATACTTAAAAGGCAAAGACAAAGATGGAAGGTCGGTATGACCACTTTCTGTTTATAACCAAAAATCAGAACCTATAGATAAACAATTTAGTAAATTAGATGTTATAAATAAAAGCCTAGTATGTAGGAAAAATAGTTATTAAGTAAAACCAACAGCACATGGGCAAAACCTTGATAAACCTTTGTTCCCTAGTATCAAAACATTTACCTTTTCTGTGGAAGAGAGACTGTTGGATATAATCTGGTGCAAATGGAGAAAGAAGAATCCTTAACCACCTGTAAAGAAAGTAAAATAAATCTGAACCCAAATATAACTATTGGGAATTTAATTAAACTTAATATTCCAACCTAAGAAGAACCTTTTAAGCTTGAAACTATTTCTATTTGTTAGAAGTTTTCTTTAGCAGGGCATCATAGTGGCCAACACCTACAATCCCAAACACTTGGGGAGGCTAAAGCGGGTGGATCATAAATTCTCAGCCAACTCTATTGTTAAGTATGAGACCAGATGGACCTACACAGTGTGAAGACTCTGAAAACAAAACAAAACAAAAACAAAAAACAAATATCCTGCCATATTGCCAGGTAAATGTCAGAAAAAACAATATACTTAGTAGATTAAGAAGAGAGCCAGGTGCCAGGGGCTCATGCCTGTTATTCTTAGCTAGATCTCAGGAGGCTGAGATCTAAGGATCGCAGTTCAAAGCCAGCCTGGGCAAGGAAAGTCTGTGAGACTCTTATCTCCAATTAACCACCAGAAAACTGAAGTGGTACTGTAGCTCAAGTGAGCACTTGCCTCGAGCTGAAGAGCTAAGGGACAGTGTACTGTAGCTCAAGTAAGCGCTTGCCTTGAGCTGAAGAGCTAAGGGACAGCGCCCAGGCCCAGAAATCAAGCTTTACAACTAACAAAAAGGAGGAGGAGGAGAAGGGGGAAGTGGGGGAAGAGGGGGAGGAGGAGGAGGAGGAGGAGGAGGAGGAAAGAAGAAAGAAGAAAAAGAAGAGAGCCAGGTGCCAGTGGCTCACACCTGTAATTGTAGCTACTCTGGAGGCTGAGATCTGAGAATTCAGCCTTGCCATAAGACTTTTCTTAAAAAAAAAGTTTTTTTATTGAGATTAAGTGATTATATAAATTTCACAAATTTCAGGGCATTGTGATAGATACTTAAAGTCAAACATTTTAACCTTCACAAGGCAAATTATCATTATTATGATAATTATGAATTTTATGAGTTTTGACGATATACCTATTTCTTCCGCATTGGGTGATATGTACATTTCTTTCCTTTTGCTTAGCGTAGGCTGTTCTCTCTTTCCCTCTCATTCCCTCACTTCCATCCCTGCCCTTGAGTTGCTTAGTTTTCATTAATGTCCAGTGCAGCTGATAGGCCCCTCGCCATAAGACTCTTATCTCTAATAAACTCCAAAAAACCAGGAAGTAGAGCTGTGGCTCAAGTGGTAGAGTACAATCCTTGAACAAAAGAAGCTCAGGGATAGCACCCAGGCCAAGTGCAAGCCCCAGAACTGACAGAAAAGAATTAAAAATGTACAAATAAATTTCAGTCTTCTTAAGTCATGTGGATGATTATTTTATATTGTGGCTAACATTATTTCTTCACAAAAGCAGCTTTGTAAGTCTATATTCCTTAACTACTGGCATTCAAAAGAATCCTTTGGGAGCATATAAAACAAAAAGCCAGGACAATCCTAACTTAAGAGTTGTAAAACGGAATACACATCTTTTCTGAACTAAGTATCTAGCATTAATTAGCTTAATATTAATTACCCATGTTAATCATTACCAAATTTAGCACTGTTGCCTCTACAAGAAGGAAAATTTTATTAACATGATTCAGTTCTGCAGTGTTAACTCCATGCCAGCCTTACAAACAATGCACTGAGTTCAAACCCTAATGACACAAATTTTCTCTCTCTCCAAGGATAAAATAAGGCACAACAAGCCAACTTCAGTACACTGAGAATATGCAGTACCATTAGGGATTTACTCATAGTACAAGTACACATTTGTATCTACATGCACACTATGTTTCATAAGGCAAATGAAGTGACTTGGCCTTTGCAACCTTCATAGGACTCAAATTCCTACCATAATGCCACTTGACAAATAGTTGCCTATACTCTGCTTCAATACCTCATAGCTGCTGGGCACCAGTGGCTCAGGCCTGTAATCCTAGCTACTCAGGAGGCTGAGATCTGAAAATCACACTTAAAAGCCAGACCAGGCAGGAAAGTGTGCAAGACTCTTATCTCCAATTAAGCACCAGAAAATGGGAAGTGGCACTATGGCTCAAGTGGTAGAGTGCTCACCTTGAGCTGAAAGGAGCTGAGGGACAGACCCAGGCCCAGAGTCCAAGCCCCAAGACTGACAAAAAACAAACAAACAAACAAAAAAAACCCTCATTGGTGAAAACACACATTCTTCCTTAAATTTATTTCTTGGAGCTGGGTGTGGTAGTACACAACTGTAATCCTAGTACATAAGAAGCTGAGACAGGAACACTATGAGTCTGAGGCTAGACTCAAATACAGTGAATTCCAGACCAGCTTGAACCACACAGAAAGATCCTATGTCAAAAAACAAAATTTATCCTGTGCTAGAGATGTAGGTAGACTGCTCTTTTAGCAAACACAAAGTTCTGTGCTTCATCCTCAGGAACAGAAAAAAAAAAAAATCTACTAAGCCGTAAGAGCCCAAATTACAAAAACAAAAAACAAAACAAGGTATTAATATTTTCTCACCTGTCTCTTGAATGGTTGAAGACCCTGATCTGCCCATGACGATAGATAAACTTTGAAATCTCATATGGCTTTAGGGAAATATGAAATGGAGACCAAGTTTCTTGTCGTTCAAATAACTCTGGGTGATTACACACCTAACAGGAAGGGAAAGAGTAACATATCACCTTTATAGCTTTGCCTTCATGAAAACTTTTTCCATTTTCATTGCTAGAAGCCTTTGTTCTATACCATCAAGACTCTAGGTCTTTTCAAAATATGCCAATAAAGACAACATGAAGTCTCTTACCTTCCTAAACTGCATGACGAGATTCATGAGGCTGCTGGTGGTGTTCTGTGCTTGCTGGGTAGAGCCCATAGAAGACTGCAATAAATCTTCAATGGAAATTTTGTTCTTTAGTGCCTGGTATAATAGCTTTTGTCGGCTGGTCAGTTGGCAGTACATTAGAATTTCAATCTAAAATTCAACAAGATTTATATTTAGGAAATCATTTGTACGATAATGTGGTATAAGCTTAGAGTAAAACATATTCAAACCAGATTATAAAGTGAGTTTACTATCTCTACAAACTAGTGATGTGGATAATTACCCAGAAACAGTGTGTCCTGACCTTCTCTTGCCATTCACCCCACATATTCTTCCCAGGCTATCTTTTCTATTTCCAGTATCACTATCTATTATCATTCACAATAATTTTCAGGAAACACCGTAGAAAGAGAATGAGAGGAGTGAGTATATGAAGCTATGGGAATTAGATGGGCTAATATGAGATTTTCAATGTCAGTAGGATTTTATTTTTAGTAAACCTGAAGGGTAGGGAGATTAATGAGTTGATCACTGTTAATGCTGTGCAGTATGTGTAAGGGTATTCACTACACCATTCTTTCTTTTTTTTTTTTTTTGGGTCCGGTCGTGGGGCCTGAGCGCTGTCCCTTAGCTCTCTTCAGTTCAAGGCGAGCGCTCTATCACTTGAGCCACAGTGCCACTTCCGGCTTTTTTCTTTTTGCTTATGTGGTGCTGAGGAGTCGAACCTAAGGTCTCAGGCATGCAAGGCAAGCCCTCTACCACTGAGCCAACTTCCCAGCCCTCTTTCTACTTTTATAAGCTTTCAAAATCTTCATTAGGACTGGGAATGTGGCCTAGTGGTAAAGTGATTGCCTAAGCCTGCATAAAGCCCTGGGTTCAATTCCTCAGTACTACATAAACAGAAAAAGCCAGAAGTTATGCTGTGGCTCAAATGGTGGAGTGCTAGCCTTAAGCAAATGAAGCTCAGGGACAGTGCCCAGGCACTGGATTCAGTCCCAAGGACTGGCGAAAAAGAAAAAAGAAAAAGAACAATTTCATTAATATAAGAAGTTTTAAAAGAGTAAAAGAAATGTTATTTCCTTGCTTACTTGATTCATTTAAGTCTTTTTGGAACATTTCTTGTGTTTGTAGCACGGGGAATTAAACCTATCAAGTTTAAAGATCTTTTTGCGGAACTAGGTACCTGTCAACTAAATATGTATCAAAGGAATTTTTCCCCAAAACCTAAGTTGGTGTTTATTGCAGCTTAACCTTTGAGGATTTGATTGCTTACCTTATCAGACAATTCATTTTCTACATCTTTCTTAATTCTCCTCAGCATAAATGGCTTCAAGATCATGTGCAAGCGAGATAGTTGATCTGAAATAACAGGAAGCCCTAAATAATATGCTGTACAGATTTAGCACAATCAAAACAAATAACATCTGGGCTCAATGATTCTGTGAAAGTAGATCCAAATTTTTCCTTAATCTGAAACCTGAGTAATATAAATTTACTACAGCATCTTGCTATAATCAACTAATACATTAAGGTCTATTTTCATTAAAATTACTTTCAGAATATGTAAGGAACATTTTATCAATAGCAGGATTCTCACAGAGGAATAATAAAACCTATCTAGGACCACTAGAGTTACCCTTCCCAAAAAAATTATCTTTCAAAGGATGTCAGCCAATTAACAACTTAATACTAAAAACTCCTTTATGGGATGTTTTTGATAGATGTCACCTTCTGGTCTATATAACAACATTCCCAGGAAGGTCTAAAAGCAGGCAGGTGTTACTCAACAAGACCAAAAGTATTAATAATGTTAAAAGGTTTACAATTAAAAATAACTCCTATACAGAAAAATAAAAACAAGTCTTATAATATTTTTGACTTTTGTCATAAGAATCCAGACACCGGTACTCCTGACTATAATCCTAGCTACTCAGGAGGCTGAGATCTGAAGATCACACTTAAAAGCCAGAACAGGCAGGAAAGTTGGTAAGACTCTTATCTCCAATGAACCACCAGAAAACCAGAAGTGGAGCTGTGTTACAAGTGGTAGAGCACTTGCCTTGAGCTAAAGAGCTCGGGGACAGCACCTACGCCCAAAGTTTAAGCCCTATGACCAATAGAAAAAGAAAATCCACACAAAGAAAGTAATTTTCATAGAATCTTCTAGGATCTATGCGAAAGCAGACTCTGAAAGCCAAAATGCTTTATGAGGTAAGCTCGAAGTATCTTGATGAAAAAGTCAAGACAAGAATAGGTGTCAAGCCAGGCGCTGGCGGCTCACGCCGGTAATCCTAGCTTCTGAGGATCATGATTCAAAGCCAGCCCGGGCAGAAAAGTCCGTGAGACTAAACTCCAATTAACCAGAAAACTGGAAGTGGTGCTGTGGCTCAAGTGGTAGAGCGCTCGCCTTGAGCTGAAGAGCGAAGGGACAGCGCCCAAGCCGAGTTCAAGCCCCATGACCGATGGAAAAAAAAAAAAGGTGTCAAATTAATCTTTTGGCTTTTAAATTATATCCAAAGCACATAGCTGTTGTATGAGAGGAACCTTCCTTCATGTCCAATATTGTATGTATACCGTAGTGTTCACGTTGGTAAAAAGAAGAAATAGTGGCTGGGAAGGTGGCTCAGTGGTAGAGCGCTTGCCTTGCATGTATGAGGCCCTGGGTTTGATTCCTCAGCACCACATAAGCAAAAAGAAAAAAAGCCAGAAGTGGTGCTGTGGCTCAAGTGGTAGAGCACTAGCCTTGAGCTGAAGAGCTGAGGGACAGCGCCCAGGCCCAGAGTTCAGGCCCCATGACCAGACCAAAAAAAAAAAAGAAAGAAAGAAAGTTCCTCATATTACTTACTCTCATCAATTGCCGATTTGTTTTCAGCATGACTTTCAATGTCCTTGGAAAACCATTCATTAAATTCTTCATGGGAATCAAATAATGTCGGCATAATGAAATGTAGCAGAGCCCAGAGCTTGAAACAAAGAAAAAAAAACAAATAAAATATAGCAGGGTAATAAAACAACAGTAAGGATATAATAAGGTTTAGTAAGTGTTTATGTATGTGACAGGGAGAGAGAATGAAAGAGTTTAAACACATGTCTTCTAACTAACCCAAATACTAGTAAGTACCAAACTGAAAAGTGATTATTTTTCAATTAATTTCTAACTATAAGGTTTAAGAGTGAAAGTTTTATTCATAATAGAGGAATCATTTGAAAAACTGTATTTGTGTCATGTGCTAGAGCAGGAACAGCTTGCATAGGGCCTATAGTCTAGTTTGCCATGCATTTTTGTAAATAAATTTGGGGGTTTTTTTCCCCCCAGGAGCGGGGGTTACCTGTCCATGGAGCTTGAACTCAAGGTCTGGGGACTCATCCCTGACCTTTACTGCTCAAGGCTAGCACTCTACCACTGGAGCTATACTTTCTGCTTGTTTGGTAGTCAATTGGAGGTAAGGGTCTCACAGAGTTTCTTGCCTAGGCTAGCTTCAAACCTTGATCCTCAGATCTCATTCTCCTGAGCAGCTAACATGATAGGTATGAGCTACCTGAGCCTGGCATGTAAACAAAGCCATGCTCATTCATTTATACACCACTTTCACATTAAAAAGGCAAAACAGAGGAGTTGCAACTGTGACTATGTAACAAAATCTAAAATACTGTATCTAGTCCTTAAAGAATGTATTCTGATCCACATTCTAGTTATCAATTTCTTTCTTTCTTTTTTTTTTTATTTGGTCGGTTTTGGGGCTTGAACTCTGGGCCTGGATGCTGTCTCTCAGCTTTTCAGCTCAAGGCAAGTGATCTACCACTTGAGCCCCAGCACCACATCCAGTTTTCTGGTGGTTAATTGGAGATAAGAGTCTCATGGACTTTCCTGTCAGGGCTGGCTTTGAACATCGATCCTCAGGTATCAACCTCCTAAGTAGCTAGGTGGCATGAGTCACCAGCACACAGCTTAAATCAATTATCTTTACTAAAGAAAAACAATTAGTTTGCAGTATTAAACAAAATTATCAAGCCAGGAACTAGTGGCTCACGCCTGTAATCTAGCTACTCAGGAGGCTGAGATCTAAGGATCGTGGTTCAAAGCCAGCTCTGACAGGAAAGTCCATGAGACTCTTATCTCCAATTAACCACCAGAAAACCAGAAGTGGCGCTGTGGCTCAAGTAGCAGATTGCTGGCCTTGAGCTGCAGAGCTGAGACAAAGCGCCAGGCCCAGAGTTCAAGTCCTATGACAGACCAAAAAAAAAAAAAAAAGAAAGAAAATTATCTTCAAATTCTATCATAAAAATATCTGTTGATTAGATGGGTAAATTTCCTAATGTTCTCAATATTTATTACATAAGGAATAAAAAAAGAGAAATGATTCCATGTAGGGGAAACTATGGTCAAATCCAGGTAATCATGGGTAAAGAGTTATATGCTGTGCTGCAACTCGGACTTATGAAGTTGTGAGCCAGGACCTTTACTAGTGCCTACCTCTGCCATGGTGTTCTGAATAGGGGTTCCAGTTAGCAAAAGCCGATTCCGACACTGGAACTGTAAGAGGATCTTCCAACGAACACTGTTCAATAAAATGAGTTACAAATTCCAAATTACCAACAAATCTTTAATTACCCTAGGGAGACCCCATATAGCTAATCATGCTTTCCAACCAAGTACAACTCAGAATCATGTATTCCACCATGTACATAGTTGAAAGATATTTAAGAAAGCAAAAAACAGTACATTTCAGAACATACTCCTCTATATAGAAAACATGGTATTAATAGTACTGGGGTTTAGAAAAAAATAACCTTCAAACAGGTAGAGTTGGACCCTTCTGTACTTTATTTATAATAAATACTGTGTGTGTGTGTTGGTCATGAAGCTTGAACTCAGAGCCTGGGCTTTGTCTCTAAGGTTCTTTTTCTCAAGGCTAGTTCGCTACTATTTGATTCAAAGCTTCAATTCTGGCTATTCTTTGGTAGTTTAGTGGAGTAATAGTCTCACAAACTTTCCTGCTCAGCTGTCTTTGAATCGTGATCCTCAGCATATATCACTAGTGCTCGGCTTCCTTTCTAGGTTTATAAAGTCTATTGTATTTGTTAGTTAAGAAGTAAGGACGTGGGCTGGGAAGGTGGCTCAGTGGTAGAGCGCTTGCCTTGCATGCTCAAGGCCCTGGGTTCGATTCCTCAGCACCACATAAGCAAAAAGAAAAAGCCGGAAGTGGCGCTGTGACTCAAGTGGTAGAGCGCTCGCCTTGAGCTGAAGAGCTGAGGGACAGCGCCCAGGCCCAGAGTTCAGGCCCCACAACAGGACCCCAAAAAAAAAAAAAAAAAGAAGTAAGGACGTGAAAGATCTAGTGTCTTCATTGTTCCTGGCCCAGGGTACATTCGCCTTCAAAATGGTGCAATACAACTGCACACAAGTGGATCCTGCTTGCAATCCTATTTATTCTGAAGGCTGAAGATAAAAACTGCAAAGACTTTTATCTTCAATTAAATGTTGTGGCTGAAGTGGTAGAGCACTACTAGCCTTGACCTAAAAAGTTCAGGGACAGTACCTGGGCCCTGAGTTTGAGTCCATGTTAAAAAAAAGTGCAATATTAAATATTGCCTGTCAGAGATTGAAATATTGCATTAGCGAATGTCATTTCCATGTTAATACAAACCTTTTGTGTATACTACAGTTTGAACTCAGGGCAGCTCAACTTGGTAGAAAGGCGTTTTACCACTAAGCCATGCCTCCAGCCCAATATAGACCTACAAGGTCATCATGCGTTAAAAATATATTAAGCACAACGTTCAATAGCATCCATTAACACTACAATCAAGCACTACTGTATTCTGTATGGGACACAAAGGTATTAGAATATTTCAAACATGTAACTTATAATGCCCTTTTAATTGTATCCTTTTGTAAGATAGATGCAGGACAATACTATACCAAACCCTAGTGGGTGGGTCTCTCTCTCTCTCACACATGCTTGGTACCAGGGCTGCAACTCAGGACCTTATACTCTTACGTGGCATTTTGGCTCATACCTGACCTCTTACCCTTGAGCTATGTCTATAGTCTACCTTTTCTGCTAATTAACTGGAAATAGATTCTTGGGAAATTTCTGCCTGAGCTGCTTTGAACTGTAACACTCAAATCTCAGCCTCTTGAGTAGATAAGAATTATAAGCATGCACCAGTACTACCCTGAACCTCTGTGAATCTTTTTAGGTTGGCCAGGGGCTTGAACTCACAGCCTAGGCACTGTCCCTGAGCTTTTTTTGCTCAATGCTAGTGCTCTACAACTTTGAGCTGCAACGTCACTTCGTCACTTCGGATCTTCTGATGGTTAATTAGAGATAAGAATCTCATGGACGCCGGGCGCTGGTGGCTCACGCCTGTAATCCTAGCTACTCAGGAGGCTGAGATCTGAGGATCACAGTTCAAAGCCAGCCCGGGCAAGAGAGAACGTGAGACTCCTATCTCCAATAAACCACCAGAAAACCGGAAGTGGTGCTGTAGCTCAAGTGGTAGAGCGCTCGCCTTGAGCTGAAGAGCTG